CACGTTTTGTGTCGCTGTGAAGCTCTGAGCTACTGTAGGCAGACTATACTGGAGTTCATTACTTTGGACCCTCACGACATCAAGAAGCTTGGACTCAAGGCGATTCTCAACTTCGCTAAAAGGGCGAGGCTTGTGATCTAAGGATTGTAGAGGTGCATAAGTGCCCGCTTAAGCGGCCTATGCACTAGCTCCTTATGGTGGCTGGAATGCCTCTAATTTCAAGATTCATTCATTCAAAGCCAAAAATCCTCTATTGGGCGAGTCCGCGGCATGTTTGTTGGATTATCGTTTTTGGGAACAAAAGGTAAGTGTGTTGTCGAAGCCAGTTTTGGGTATCTCTTGAGTAACGCCATGATGCTAGGTCTGGCCAAAACATGATATGGTCATTAGCATGATGTTGTGGACAAACTGAAGCAATTTGCAAAGGCAGTTATCAATATAGCTCCCACTATTCAAAGCTGCACCCCTCACTCTTTCCACAAAAGGTTGGGATACACCCCTGTTAGAAATTGTGCACTAGACAAGGATTTTTATCGGAAAATTTCGCTATATGTTTGTATCTAACATTGTCAGGGAGTTCCTCTGCTTTAGAATTATTCAAAGTAAATTACTTTTCGTCATCTAAAATAATGATTTTTCCATTGGCAAAGTGTAACCCCCCTCAGTTGACCACAGCATCTTGGTGTGCGAAGTTGCGATTGAGAGTTTTTGAAGCACTTAAGTCTCTTTCGATATCAAAGATCATTCCCCCTCAATTCCAACTATATTGTACTCTTGGAACATCTGTATTGACGAGCCAGTACCTTGTTGACATTCTAACCTGACTTTTGCTCTTCTCGCCAATCACTCTGACCTCTGTGTAGGACATCCACGTGGTCTTCCACTTTTTGGGAGATTGAGACATGGTATTCCTTGCTAGCACTTCGCTATTGTTCGATAAATGGTTCTGCATGAAATGTTTTCATTCTGGAATATTCGACAGATTTCAGCTTACTTACTTCTGATTTCTAATTTATACTTACGACATCTTAAAGCGAAAACTTTAAAATAAATGAATGTCAACTGATAGTAGTAAACAAACTTTTGTTTATAAAGGCATCTTGATATTATTTTATGTTTGTTAAATTAAAGCTAATGAATTTTGTGCCAAAGCGTTTCGGACATACGTGATGATTCTGGTAACAGATGACGCTTTGAGCTTTGTTATTTCGATTGTACTGTAAATGGAGTAGGGTTGTTCAGCTTTCGTTCATTGTCCACTAAAACCAAGCCTGCCCCATGGTGAAGAGCTGCCAAATAGCAGGAAGCAGCTAATCATTGTTGGCCGAATGTGGTCGGACGACGGAAAGGTATATTATGAGTATTACAAGTGAATCCCTTTTAACAACGTCTATGCGCCTGTATAGCCCAGCTTGTACATATATTTACTGGAAATAACAAAACCGTTGACCTCTGTAATTAGGCTTAAGCGTGGAAGAAAATGTTGGCGCAAACACTTCACAAAAGAATTGTTTTATGAGGATTTAATGAATTCGTAAACAGGACAAATAAAGCTTTCAGACAGCCTTTTACCGCCAGTCAGTAAAATGGGCCCCAATTAAGGAAAAACGGAAATCCAAAAAGGACCTATGCTGCTGACGAAGGTGTTTTATAGCAGCATACGCCTATTGAATTTAGCGGTGAAAGCTGCTATGGTACTTAATTAGTTCCAGTTTTCTTTGTGCCACGTTAAGGACGTATTTTAAATATGAAAGCTAGTACGTGTTTTTTACTGCAAGTTCAGATGTTCATTACAGGTTCATAATAAGTGACGGAGTCTTGAAAGGATATCAGAAATTGAACGTTGTATGATTGTTATCACTCAAAGCTCGATACAAGAAAGCTTCGTCGATCGTTAAATTAGGCGAACACCTACTCAGACTATTGATCAAATACTCCATCCAATAGAAGTTGTCACGACTAAAAAACTCGGCGATTTGTGGCTTAATCCGTCTTGAGCCACTGGCGCTCTTAACACCCCCCTACTCTACGCTTTATTGAGCTAGGGCCTAAACTTGCACGCCTCTTGACAGCTGTTGCATTGGCCGACCCTTAGACTTCATTTATGGTAATTTACTAAGTCATTAATTAATTTGATTTAAACAAGAGGAAAGAGGAATCACACCACCATTTCCTCATATTTATAAAAAAAAGGCGTGGCAAAGTTTAACTCAGGTATCATTATTAAGGACTGCTTTATGGGATGAACCCCTACAAAATAGACTCCTAGTGGTGATCCAGAGATCCTTAAAATATATGGTTCTACCGATGAGTCATTTGTTGGGGACTTTTGTTTGTACACAGAACAGAAGTTTTTTGGTGTTATTCTTGAAGCTGCGGTTTGTACTCAACTTGAGAAGTATCTTAACACAAATAATTTGTTCTTGTGTCAGCGATCTGGAATTCGTCAAGATCGTTTCTACGAAACATCGCTCTTATATATTGTTTCCACAAGGTATACACTGGATTTCAAGAGAATTTTTCCCACTATTAATTGTGAGGTTGTGCTTGAGAAGTTAGAGCTTATGACCCATTGATTCATTTCTGAAATGGTTAATATATTATATGTGAATCGTTTTCTAAAAATTAAAAGTACTGTAGCTAATGGCGACTTGGCCGCATATTTATTTATTTATTTATTTATTTATTTATTTATTTATTTATTTATTTATTTATTCATTCATTCATTCATTCATTCATTCATTCATTTATTTATTTATTTATTTATTTATTTATTTATTTGTTTATTTATTTATGTACACCACCAACAGATAAACCAATTATTGGTGGGAGAACAGAAGTTAACATAGTACAAACCTGAAGTAATTAATATACATAAGAAATATAACAGTCACAAAAGTACACAATTATATAACAGATTTGAAGAGGATCTTAATAGAGGTCACATTTGTATTAAATATATCAATTAGAAGAATATCCGGACAATCATATTGGTTGTGAATAACCTTGATAAGAATATTAGTGAGTTCATTTTTCTTCTGTGGTCTAAGCTTAGCATACCCTGCCTCTTTAATAATACATCTTGAGGAACACCTATTTCTGGATAGATACCATATATCCTGTAGGACAGACATTTCAGAAACTTGCGTTGTATTTTTTCTATTGAGTCACAAGTCGTCACATAGCAGGGATTCCAAATAATTCTAGCGTATTCCAGTTTTGAGATACAAAACCCAGACTTTTATTTACAGAATTTAGAAGGTAATTGATATGCGGATTGAAACTGAGGGTTGTGTCACAGGTGACTCCAAGATCTTTGAATTCTCTTAGATTTGGCAAGCGCTGTTTGATTAACCTTATATAATGATATTCTATGGAGCATTGTTTTCTGGAATACGTCATGCTGGTACACTTGCACGCATTCATGGATAGGTTATTATTATCGCACCAAATTATTATTATGTTGAGATTATCTTGGAGACGTTCGCAATCGGTGCTGTTGCTAACCTGAGTATAAATTTTAAGATCATCGGCATATGAGAGATATTTGCAATCAATAACGTCACAAATGTCATTGATAAATATGATATGTGGGACACCTATGTTGGAGTAAACTTTTGGGATTTGGATCTCCTTAATTCCACAAACAGCTTACGGTTGGACAGATAGAATTTCAAAAGGCATACTAAATCATGTGAAAAGCCCATTCTATCAAGTTTTGCTAGTAGCAGATGAAGGTCCAGCCTATCAAATGCTTTACTAATATCTGTATAAATGACATGTGTTTGCACTCCAGCGTCCAGGGATTCAGAAATGAATTGTGAAAAACAAATTAGGTTAGTCGTTGTGGACCTCCCTTTCATAAAACCGTGCTGACAAGGAGATATACTCTTACTGACACTAACATATATAAAATTGTACAATAAGTACTCCAAAGCTTTGGAGAAGTTACATACCAAAGTAATTGGTCTATGGTTTTCTACAGCAGTTCTGTCACCTTTTTTAAATATTGGACATATTCTTGCTTCTCACCAAACGTCGGGATATATTTTAGTTTTCAGAATAATATTGTATATTTTGTAAATGGGCATGCAAGGATACACGCACAGTCTCTCAGCAAAAAAGATAGGATACAATCTGGACGACTGGTCAATTTATTTTTCATTCTTTTCAACGCCTTATATACTTCAGTTTCGTTAAAATTAATTAGGGAAAAATTAGTATAGGATGAAGGTAAATCACTTGACGGAGGCAAATATAGTGTACCGTCAGAATTACCAGCCCCTTGCGGTAACAATGGTGGCTGGGCTATCAAACGCTAACTCAGACCTTTGGGCCCATTTTACTATTAATTAGCGGGAATTAAAATTTACGCCACAAATTGGATCAACGAGACGGCGCCTTAGTAATAGCGTAGTAGCAATGAATTAGATGTATCTCAAACTTGCGTAATATTATTGATTTGTGTAAGACGGCACCAACACCCATATTAAAACATAAATCCTTCATAGATCACCTGGCTTAGCTACAAAAATCTGTTTTTTGATTTGTGTCCGGACACATAATAAATGAATATATGATTACATAATGCCTATTCTTTAGCAAACATCGAGTAATCAGTTTACTAACTTACTGTTAACAGGAAAATATCGCGCACTCCACTGAACGGTATGACGACTACTTGACCATGTTGACATCCATTGCATCGACGTTGATCGTTCCACATTTCGATACCCTAGGGACAAAGAAGCCAGTTTGGGGTGTACGAAGTTTGACACGGTTAGAATGGAAAGCCGAAGTCAGGCAGCTCTGTCTGGCCGGTATGGTGGAATTACCTGAAAGAAGAGAAATTATTTAAAAATAACAGGAATTTTGGAGAAATATTTTCCGTTATGAGGGATCTCCCTTAAGTTTTGCATATGGAAATAAAACAATACGGTAGGTAATTTTAAATGACTTTATTGTTTTTTGAAGTATTCTCCACGAAGATTAATACAAATCTACATGCTCTCGAACCAATTTTTGAAGTACTTATTCCACTCGCTTGCTGGCAGGTCCAAAACGGCATTTTTGAATGCGTCAACTGCTTCTTCTGGTGACTGGAACCTTTGACCACGCTGTCTGTTTCTAATTTTCGGGAAAGTAAATAAATCGTTAGGACTTAGATCGGGACTATATGGAGGATGCTCCAATAATTCCACGTTTTTCTTCCGTTAAATACTGCCTTGTTTTTTGGGCTGTGTGCGAGCTTGCATTGTCTTGGTGGAGGATGATGCTTCCTTCGGGGTTGATTTTTCGAATCTCGGTGATGACTTTTGGCAAACAAATGATGGGATACCAATCCGCAGTAATAGTTCTTTGCTCATTTAGACGAATTATTGCAATATGACCCGCTTTTGACACAAATGTCGCGACCATCTTTTTCAAAACACTTCGGGAATGGATGACTTTTGTTGGCTTTTCTTCACCTTGCAACACCGAAACAGCCAAGTGTCGTTTATTTTCTGGTTCATAACAGTAAATCCACGATTCATCACCACTAACAATGCTGTACACATTTTTTTGAGTTTCCGGCATTGAAACGGCCAAGCGTTCTTTGACACCAATTAACTCTGGCTGCTTTCTGCTCTTCAGTCAACAGGTGGGGTAGGGGAGACTACTGAGGCTTGAGACAAGGGAGGATTGAGACACTACATTTATTTCCTAAAATCGGGTATGCAAAGCCATCTGTTGATTACTGGTTAATAACTTTAGTCAAATCCCTCACCGCTTGGCCAACGAATCGGCGAGAGTAATCAGTAGAACATTGTTGTTAGTGCAGGTGCAAAGTGGTGGCCAAAACTAAATTGTAATTTTGTGATATCGTTGTAGTTTGCCGCAAGTTAAAGTGAAAATTTGAGTTGATTGCTTAGACATTGTGACTTTAGGTATGTTGTGAATTATTTATATAGTTATACCATGAAATAGAATTTTAACAAGAATTTCAAGTTAGATTATTTCATGAAATGCTATATAGGGAGACATGAGACAGTTGTTTTGGGGAGACATGAGACGTCTCATCTAATCTAAAATTCCGGTTAAAAATCTGATTAACTGGATTACTACTATTTTTAAACAATTAAAAAATGCTAATCTGATTGAGAAATAATTTTAGACGATCGCGGCTTAACCACTAAACAAACTTTTGTTAGACTAGAAATTTTGAGCCCGCTTCTGAATGCAGGTCCTGGAAGACGGATTACAAAGCGAAAATGTGGTTCCTCAAGAATTCTTACCGACACACCAGAAAAAGAAGCAATAAGAGGCTGAAGCAACTGCTCGAAAGATAAAAAAAAGTTGTTCTGTTGAAGCATGACGATCTTTTATCAAGAACAAACAAACAAAAATATTTATAGAAACCTGCAACTCCACCACAGCCTTCTTCAAGTGATGAAGAGGAACAAAGCGAGCTGGGCGGAAGTAAGGAAGATATTTCAGATGTTGAAGGCTACGAAAGAAAAGTGCTTCAGATGAAAGCTCTTGGGGATGTCAAGGCCTTCCAAGTGGGAGACTTCGTTTTGGTTAAGTTTTACACAACGACTTCAACTATGTATTATGTGGGTCTGGTAATATCAAAGGAAGATGATGAATTCTTGCTAAAATTTTTACGTCGTCACGGAACCACCTGGAAATTTGTTTATCCACCAGTGGAAAATATTTCTTCAGTTCGAGAACAAGATATTATCCTGAAATTACCATTTCCAAAAAATGTAGGTGGAACCGAAAGAGTCAATCTACTCTGACATTTGGTCTGGACCTACGTTGCTATGAAAATGTTCGTAGATTTTCTTTATTATTGTCATTATTTTTTTTTAATAGACATTTTTCGTTGTTGATTAATAATTAACAAACTCCTTGCGTTGTAGATTTTCTTTATTTTTTATTTCTTCAACAAGAATACACGTTTCCCAACAGCTTACAGTGTCTCAGTGCTCCCTATAACTTGTCCTCAACGCTCCCTTGCCTAGGAGTCTTAAGACAATTTACACCGTTGAGTTGAAATACATTTAAACAATTTCAATAATATTTTGGAAGCATGAAAAAGTATGGCAAGTTTAGCTAAATCGCACACAATTCACTTGCCCGATATGAAATCTTTAAATTGCAAATTGTATAATGTATAAGAAATAAAATTAATTTTTTGTCTCAAGCCTCCCAGTCTCCCCTATCCAACGAGAAACTAATCTTCTTACTCCTAATTCTTCATGTAAATTTTTTTGAATTCAGGTCTTTGAGATCTTCAAGGACGCCTCAATCTCGCGATTTGTCACATGTCTATCTTCAATGATGAGTTTGTGCACAGCATCGACGTTTTCCTGGGTACTGCCGTTTTTTGTGCACCCACCCTGGGATCGTCGCTAAGACTCCCGTCCCACGTTTGAATTCTCCATACCAATGGGAAATTGTCGACTGATGTGGCGCTTCGTTGCTGAAAAGATTCTTGTTGCGATAACTGTCTCTGAAGGTTGTAATAAATTATGGCGCGAAAATTTTTTCGGTTGAGTTCCATTTTTCTAATGACCTGGTGACACTTAAAAATTCACTGTAGTGAGACCACTGCACGTATTGTTGTGAAACTTTGAAATTAAGTTTACTAAAGAGTGAGGTTAGATTCAGTACTGACGTTCGATCCGCGCGGCCTACTATCTATCTATATGCAAAACTTAAAAGACATCCCTCGTATTGAAGTTTGAAGCTTTTAAGTTGGCTGAAATAAGTATACGTTGTTGAATTCCTGGTCGATTGCGGAGATCTCTAGGAAAAAGCTCAGTCATCAGTTTAGAGCTGAAACATTTTTTCCACCATCCAAACTTCTCACAAATCCAAGCCATGTATGTGTAGTCTTATCCTCGCCAATGAAAGTGGGACAATCCAACTAACCGGCGATACTGCCTTATTATAGAAGTCCCGTTCTTTCATCGGCAAGTAGTTACTCAACTTAGGTATGTTTTTCTGCCATGTTGTCAACGAAACTTGCTCTTGTAAGCTGAACCCTTCGATGACGTGTCCAAAGGAACCCAGTACAGTTTGACCAATACAAGCAAACCCTAACAAACCATAAAAATTCAATTTGTATTCATATACAGGGTAACCAAAAAGTCATGCAGCAAACGGAAGGAGGTGATACCGGGGGCCATTTGCAGTCAAAAATCATATATGTCCTGATCCGATTGTGCACGGTTTTAGAGCTGTCGCCATTTTTAGAAATTTGTGGTAAATCACTACCTTTGAGTCTGTAGTATTCTTTCTGAAGTTGGCTTTTGTTGATTGAGTGAAAATTTAATCTAGCTAGTGTAGGTACAGCAATCGGCTAATCTGCAATTTTGTCTGTGGTCAACAAGGTGACAGCATATACAACAAGGCCGGTAATAAAATTAGAAGGCGGATAATATGTCCATAGCGACGAAAACCTTTTCGATACTATTGCCTTCCAAAATACCTACTAGATAGTCAGATATCGTAAACAGTTTCTGTGCAAAGTAGACAAAATGCTGCAGGCACTCTAAATTCTAAACTCCCATTTTTTAAGCTTAACCCTTAAACTGAAATTGTCGATTTTCCAGCTTCTGGATATGATGGGGAAGCAACTAAGGCACAACAAATCCTCAAATTCAATGGGTAATAGAGGGTTATGGAAATCCAGCCATATTACTACAAATATTAACAAAAACAGGTAAACCCACATGGGTAGTGAAAAAGGGATGCGTGTATGTTGCCGAACCCATTTTCCTTATGAAATTCGATGCAAGATGCCGTACTCGTCACAGAAATATGCAGAAATGCATTTCATTTATGGATTGTGCAATGGAAATGCTCGACGTGCTGCCGAAGAGTAACCAAACCGATATCTCCGAAGAGCATCTTTTCCAGAACATCGTACATTTATTCGTGCCTATGTAGCAAGAGAAATGCCTGGGAGATGAAAAAGGCCGAGGATTAGCGTAGATGCTGAAGATGTGGTACTACAGTTGACTGAAAAAAAAAATAGTTTAAAAATCTGAAAAAACTCGTTTTTATAGCTAACCTAACAAAAATCAGAAATAATTTTCGATTTACAAGGACTTTATAATACAGTAGTAGATGGTCGAACAATTAATCATTACTAATGACCTCAAAATAAAATTATAATAAAAGTTATTAACAGAATAATTCAATTCAGAGTAAAAAGCGTGGGGTGCTTGTTATATTAATTGTTACAATCATTCTATTGGCAACTGTCTATGAGAGGAGAGTTATAATTTTATTTTGACGTCATCAATCATGATTGATTGTACAACCATCTGCTACTGTAATATAAACTTTTTGTAATTAAAAATGATTTTCTAATTTCTAGTTCGGTTAGCTATAAAAGCGTGTTTTTTAGTTTTTTTAAACTACTATTTATTTTTCATTTTGTAGTTCGATTTATTAATTAGTTTTTTGTGGACATGTCATCGGTCCCTGATACGTGTGCGAAGTTCAAGTTTATTTGCACTATGACTTTTGGGACACCCTGTATTTCCGACTCGGATATTTCCAGTATAGTTGGCGAAACGTACGTTTATATCACATTTACATTAATGCCATAAAAATTCTCATGTTCGCGTGCCTAGAATGACCAGAAATCATATTAGTCAAAAGGAACGATGATAGACGTCAACGAATAAATCAAGACTAATGAACACTGTAGCATTAATTTGCAAGAATGACTTCTTGCTTAAACGCCCGCTTACATGCTCGGGTGTGTCAGGGCCACACCCATGCAGCCCTTTTTTCATACAAAGGAATTCAGTGTGCTGGCCTCGAGGTGTTTGAAAGCTATCTTGATGCTGTTTTAGCTAAAGAAATTGCGAGAACATGTTATTTCAGCAAAAATGTAGGACAAAAGCAACCATTAGCAGATTCATTCTTCTCGAT